GGGGGCCGGGGGCCGGGGAGGAGGGAGATCGTGAATGAGAAAGGGGAGATGAGATGGGATGTGGCGTCTGGAGGAGCTGAGGATGAGTTGACCGGACGACAGGAGAGAAGGGGCATGAGGAGACTGCGCGATGAAAGACTAGGGGAAAGGGAGATGTGGATCTGGAGGATGCAGGGCAGTAAGCAAGAGCGGCTCGCGTACCTCCGGCGTCAGTGAGCACCTCCGCGCGGCCGCTGAACATGGCCTTGAGCATGGTGTCTTGTCCAGTGAGGGTGCGCAGCGTGGTGTAGTGCAGCGAGCCGCCCACGTTCAACTTCACGTACTTGCTGTTCGGGGTCAGTGGCTTGAGACAGTGGGCGGCAGAGCCAGGCTCGAGACCCGAGGGCTTAGGGACCTCCAGGGACGGGGCCTCGGCCGCCGCCGGGCCCGAGGCTTCTGCGGACATGCCCAGGGGTTGCGGCGGGCGGCAATCCTAGGTTCTCTCCGCTCCCTCCGGCCGCTCCCAGAGAACCCGGGGACCTGAGCCCCAGGGCTGGATCTCTGGGCTCGCACGCCCCTATGCCGCCGCTACTCAGCGACTCTGGCTCGCAGACCCATCCCGCCAGCATCACCCGGAAGCCGGGTGAGCAGCTGCGCAGCCGCTTCTAGGTCCCGCCCCCAATCTCGGGGGGACGGGAGTTTCGGCGCATGCGTGGTGTCTTCGGGCCAGTTGAGGGGTTGCGCGCGGATCGCGGCCGTGCTGGGCGCTGCGCGAGGTGCGTTCAGGTAGTCGGTCCTGGAGACGTGAAGTAAGAGGCGCCTGGCCTCCTGCCTGATGTGGAGAGCGTCGTCCCTGCCCCGAATCTGTGCTCTCAGAGCGCTTCCTGGGCGTGAAGGAAAAACTGGGGCCCAGAGAGGCAGAGGATTGGGCAAAGTTTCCCGCCTCCCAGCTTTGCGCGTTTGAGGAGAGCTGCGGACAAAGTACCAAGGAAGCCCTTAAAGGAGGCAAAGAGCGGGTGTTCTCCCAGAGGAGGTGGTAGTAGTGCTAGGGCATGCAGGGTGTGAGTAGGTAAGGTCGTCATGGAGGGCTTCTCTGAGGAAGGGATACTGAGCTGAAGCTCAGAAGAAGCGGCCACCTGGAGGTGTGAGAGCCTAGCGTTCCAGGCAGAGCCAAGGGCAAATACAAAGACCTTCAGGAGGAACACACTTGGCATATTTGAGTAGCAGAAAGAATGTCAGAGGTGGATGGAGCAGCTGGCAAAGTTCTTAGAATCCGAGGCGATGTCGTGAGACACCGAACCCCTAAAGGAATAAGTAAGCTAAGAACACGTTGATAAAGTGTGGGAGAGGTGTTTTTATCTGACTTCACCTACATTTAGTTGAGAAGCTGATACATCAGAGATTTAACAACCTGAATGTCTAGCAGGGGAATTTGCTGGAGGGAAAACTAACTAAACACGGAAGTTGTAGTTTCTGACTTGCCATCAGATCACTGGGTGATTTCAGGCAAGTCACTTCTCTCTCGGCTTGCTTGGTTCCTTTTCTGCTTAGTCAAGGGCGCAAATTTAAATGCCAGGGAACAGGTAGGAGTGTAAATGAGTGGGGTGGGCCAGTTACAAGGTACTGGGAAGTAATGGGGCCTGTGGTGACCTGAGGAGCCCATGTTTTATCAAAGAGGGTTGCTAATTCTGATTTTTCAAATGTAGCTAGTGAAAAAAGAGAAGCAGCTCATGACAACTGGGAACTAGTTTGCAGTCTTCTTTCAGAAGCCTCAGTATTGCTAGCAGGGGGCCTGGCACTATTAGCTAGGCTATGGTGTTGCCCTGCTGAGCATAAACAATTTTATAAAACACCAACATCAGAGAAAACCACTCATGGATTGAGAGAAAGACCACTCCATAATTATGCCTGAACACAAAAACAAAAATATTGTCCAGACCACAAAAGTGACCAAACACAACACTCTCCCTCACACTTCGAGTGACTGTTGCTTCTTTAGCACTGCTCCACTCCTAATTCCTAGATAAGAATTAAGATAACCAAAAAAAATTATCCCCACTTCCTGACAGCATCCAACCTTGAGCAAATCTTTCTCAAACCCTCCTAGAAAATCATCTAACACAAGCCTCAGTCCTGTAATAAATCCTTTCTAATATACATTTACTGGGGTGCCTAGGATGGGTGCCCCAAGGTATGCCATCTCCTCTGTTCAGCTACAGGTATGTTCCTGGTGTCTTTGGCTGAAGGGCATTGTTAGAAATGGAGGATTCACAGAGATTCAGCTGAAGCCCTCACTACCTTTGACTGAGACCCTCCACTCTAGTAACTTCAGTAATGATGTGCACATCGGAGACCCCTTGTGTCTCCAACTGTTTGAGGTGCCATCCTGCCCATGGCTAGGAGGTAAGTTCTTGCTGAATTGAGCTCTGGTGTTTTGTGGAGACCCTTGAGTGTTGGGATTATTTTGTTTGTTTTCCTTGGAATAAGGCCCCCTTCAGTTTTTTGGTTATCCACTCAGATTTTTATTTTTCCTTGGGGAAATTGTTTTCTGGCTTTCTACGCCTGCTCCTGTGGTCTGTTCCCCTGTCAAGTGTTTTGAATGTCATTTGTCTATAAGAGAAAAAGTCTATAGAGAAAGAAAGGGTATGCAGACCTGGATGTCTAAGGGTATCACAAAGCTATTATGTATTGCTCAGTCTCTGGTGGCTGAACACAACTTGTCCCTCTGAGAAGCTGGGGATGCCAGCTGCTTGGGGGTCATGTAACTAGTTAGCGTGCTGGGGTCATTTGTTATCAGAATTAACCGGACAAGGCACACTATCAACCAAGGCCCAATAAATCTATCCTACAACCAGCGCTAGAAACTGGGGAGTTCAGAAAGTATCCTCAAACCAGTGTCTTTTGAATAAACTTTGCCTCAGGTTGCCACTTCAAACCTTTACAAGTACTTCTTCCTCAGTTTTGTCTTTCCTGAGAACTGCTTTGTTTCATTTCTTCTTCCCAGAATCAGGGCATTGTTTCTGACTCCTGATCAATGACAGCTGGTTTTTGGCCAAGTTCTGGAGATACACGGTTGCATAGCAGCATCTCTATGAACCCTTGTCTCAGCTAAAGTTGAGCCAAATGCCTGATTCCTTCGTGTTGTCTCACAATTACTAACTCATACCCTTATCTTTCTAATTGGCACACTTTTCACTAGGGACAATTTAGAATTGCAGTGGCCATTTTGGGGAACTTTGGACAAGAACAAGGTTCTTTATTTGAGAGGAACCTTAGAACAAAAAGAGGAAAAATCCTCGTGAGAAGATTGTTTTGCTTGTCCAAAAGAGAGATTCTTTTTTTTTTAACACCTTTATTGTGGTATGGTTCCTGTACAGTGAACTACATGTATTTCAAATGTACAATTCGATTAATTTTTGAAAAATGTATACACGTATGGAACCACCACCACAATCAAGATAGCTAACATTTCCATCATTCCCCAAGAGGTACAATTTTCGAATTCCCAATTTTTCTTTTCCCAACCCCTTTACCTCCTGGTAACCATAAGTTTGTTCTCAATGTCTGTGAGTCTGTTTGTTTTGTAGATAAGTTCATTTGTGTCCTTTTTTTAAGATTCACATATAAGCAATATCATATGACATTTTTCTTTCTCTTTCTGTCTTACTTCACTTAGAATGATGATCTCCAGGTCCATCCATGTTGCTGCAAATGGCATTATTTTATTCTTTTTTATGGCTGAGTAGTATTTCTATATATATATGTTTACATATGTACCACATCTTCTTTATCCAATCATCTGTCAATGGACATTTGGGTTGTTTCCATGTCTTGGCTATTGTAAATAGGGCTGCTGTGAACACTGGGATGCACGTGTCTTTTTAAATTATATTTTTCTCCAGATATATGCCCAGGAGTGGGATTGCTGTATCATATGGTAAGTCTATTCGTAATTTTTTAAGGAACCTTCATACTGTCCTCCATAATGGCTGCACCAATTTATATTTCCACCAACAATGTAGGAGGGTTCCTTTTTCTCCACACCCTCTGCAGCATTTATCATTTATTGACTTTTTATGATGGCTATTCTGACTGGTGTGAGGTGATATCTCATTGTAGTTTTGATCTGTATTTCTCTAACAACTGGTGATGTTGAGCATCTTTTCATGTGCTTGTTGGCCATCAGGATGTCTTCTTTGGAGAGATGTCTATTTAGGTCTTCTGCTCATTTTTGGGTTAGGTTGCTTTTTTTTTATTAAAGTGTATGAGCTGTTAGTATATTTTGGAAATTAGTCCCTTGTCAGTTGTATCATTTGCAAATATTTTCTCCCATTCTATAGTTTGTCTTTTCATCTTGTTGATGGTATCCTTAGATGTGCAAAAGCTTTTAAATTTAATTAGATCCCATTTGTTTAGTTTTGCTTTTATTTCCATTACTCCAGGAGCTGATTCAAAAAATATAGTGCTGTGATTTATGTCCAAGAATGTTCTGCCTATGTTTTCCTCTAGGAGTTTTATAGAATCTGGTCTTCCATTTAGATCTTTAATCCATTTTGAGTTTATTTTTGTATATGGTGTTAGAGAATGTTCTAATTTCAGTCTTTTACATGTAGCTGTCCAGTTTTCCCAGCACTATTTATTGAAGAGACTGCCTTTTCTCCACCTATATTCTTGCCTTCTTTATTGTAGATTAATTGACTGTAAGTGCTGGA